AGAGAGAGAGAGAGAGAGAGAGAGAGAGAGAGAGAGAGAGAGAGAGAGAGAGAGATATAAAGGGGTGAAACAATCTGATTAATCGTGACGTTTAAAAAAATCGTCAACTGATTTAGAAATCGATTATTCGTTACCTGGAATATAGAGACTCTAAAACATGATGCCTTTAGCTGACAGAGCGACCCACTTTGAGCAACAAATATATCAAAACTGTGATAAAAAATTAACATTTTGCATTTAAGATACAAAAGTTTTTCGTCTGTCAGTACCTGCTATCCAGAACTCCTCAAGTAGAATTTTTTTTTTCCCCAAGCCAAAACACAAAATTACTGAGAGAAAAAGAAATTTGGCAAGATGTGTCTTCTCTCTGGGTCTGGCCACAAGACTTGATCCATAGGCAATGTCCTCTTGGCCAGGGCACTGGGAAAAATAACTACTGGAATGCCATATCCAGGCTGGACATGATGCCTGGTCATTATAACCACATGCTGCCTCCATTGCCTGTAAAAGGTTTGTACGTTGATGGGGATGACAGTAATACACCCAAAGTAGCCCTGTGGAAACTAATATAGTCCCATGCCAGGCCAATTTTGGCGCCTCTTTCTCCTTTAGGAAGATCAAAACCTTTCAAAACTGCTTTTTTGGTTTAATTAAGTGAGCTTTATCCACAATGGAATTAGTTTAATGAGCTTAGACATGTAACCAATAAAAGAAAGATCTCTGTGAGAAAGAAAACTTTAACAACTTACTTTTGAAATGAAATGTGTGTTTTGCGTGCATCTTTATTTATTTAAAAATATATAAATATTACTGTACAACTTTTGGATTCTAACAATAAAACCAATGTCAAATCCAGACCTCCAATGCTCTCATGTATAAAAGGATGTTATTTAAGTCATATTTGTTTGGTTTCTGTTTCTGTTATGCTTTTCTTTTGAGCATTCAGTCTTACTTTACTCCTTGATTTCTAGTGTTTAGTTTTCTTTTCACCATGTTTTATAGTCCTAGTTATTTGATTATCATTTTGTTGTTATTTCCAGGTTTCCCTCTTGTTCTTTGCACACCAGTTTCCTCATTAGCCACCTCTTTGTCTCAGTCTCCTTTAAAAAGCCCTCTTTCTTCAGTTCCCCTTTGCTGGGTCCTCGTCAAACACCATCTAGCATGCTCCAACTCCTTCTCTCTGTGCCTTCCTCGTTATGTTTGTGATTCCCCTGTTGTCCCCATGGTTTCTGGTACGTTAGACTTGTTTTCATGTTTTTGATTTTTGAATTTTTGTACTTCTGGTTTCATGTTTGTTTGGACTTTGTTTTTCTTTTGGATTTTTTGGATAACCAGCCTCAGTTTTCTGTTAAGTCATTACTAAATCCACAACAGATTCACCTCTGCCTCTCTGCCTCTGCTTTTGGGTCAACACTTGTGGTGGTTTTCAATGGTCAAAAAATCAGGACACCTTCAGTCGATCATCTGATTGCCCCAGGACGGGAGAAGAAGCGTTTATTTTATAGATCAAATTGACATGCTGTCCTCAGTACACGTAACACAGCGCTGAACATTTCAACAGAACACTTCTAGCTTTTTCTCAACTCCCATTTCAAATCTGGGCGTTTATATAGTTT